AATATTATATATATATATATATATATAGTTATTCAAATTGAATTTTTGTAAATATTATTTTTAAAAATTTTGTTTTTTTTATTATACAAACAAATTATTGTAATTTAATAAAAAAATAATTTTGTATTTTTCCTCATTTTACTTTTGTTATATCTTATATATAGTATATATATATATATACACTAGATAGTATATTTTATAATATTTTATTTACATCTTGAACATTGGTAATATATTTTTGATAAAAAACAATATTACATTTATAATTATATTATAGTTTTTCATAAATATGTGGATTTTTGTTTATATAGATATATGTAAAATTGAGATTTGATTCATATGTATAAAAAAAGGTAATTATCAAAAAGTTTTAATTTCTATATATATGTTATAGAAATATTATTAAATTTTTATTTCATTATATTATTTATTTATTTATTTCATTTATTATTTAATTTATTATTATTATTATTATTTTATTATTTTATTACATTTATTTCATTTAATATAAAATATTAATTTAATTTTTGATAATATTTAAAATACCAATATTATTAATTATAATATTGTATAAACATAATATAATTAAAAATTTATTAAATCAATTCAAAATTTCATATTTAACTAATATCAATCATTAAAATAAATCTAGAAAATATAATTTTTGTTATCGTCGTGTCTGTTCTATAGATGTGACGTGGTTTATGGTATCTAAAGGCGTGCACTGTAATTTTGACATAATTTGCCGAAATATGAAATAGTAAGTGGACTGTTAAAATGTTTGGTAAAATATTATTGTTATATATACGATAAAAGAAATATGATTTAATTATTGTAATATTTTCTGCAATTATATTAATTTTGTAAGAAGGTAAATTGGTATGTCATATAACATATTTATTATGATAACATAATACTAATTTTATATATGTATCACTTTCAGAATACTAATAAAATAGTTTATGTAGTTTATCATTAGTAATAATTATGCATATAATATTTTAAATGAAAAAGATTATAGATTATTTATATGATTTCATTAGTTTTGATATTATCAATTAATAAAAAATTAATCTACATTACTTATAATTTAATTTATTAAATACTTATTTAATAATATAAATTAAATATAATATTATATAAATAGCATACATTTACAATGACAACACCTATGTGTGAAGATGGTGGAACTTTACGAGAATGGGCACCTCTTGCTCTGCTTCTTCAACAAATACCTGCTAAAATTCAAACTGGACTTTTTACACATAATATTAACTTTACTTGTATTGATGCAGTGCCTGAATTTATAGCTATTGGAACTAATTATGGATTAGTATATTGGTTTGATAGAGAAAAGCAAGATTTACAAAGACTTCGATGTGAGGTAACATGCATAATATATCTATTCTTAATTAATTAATGATTTTATGATATTTAAATATTTTTAAGACATTTTTGTTTTTATAGAATGTTAATTCAAAAATTACATGTATCCAAGTAATATCAACTGTGGACTATATGGTTGCTGCTGGTAATGAACATGGAGTTGTAACTGTATTTCAAATACCTAAAAATCCTCCAGATTCATTACCAGATAGTTTGAAACCAAAACAGAAAAAACAGGTAGAAAGATATAGCATAAGTGGTTTACATAATAGTGCTGTAACAACAGTTGAATGGTCTAAGAATGGTATGAAATTATTTAGCGGAGATCAAGATGGTTTAGTTGTACTTACTGAAATTGACTTTTATATGGTATGTAATATATATGAAATAATATTATAGTTTTGTTTATTATTTTTTATATCTTTCTCTTATAAATATTTTTTAGCATTTATCAAAATCATCAGAATTGTTAAATGAAAAATATACAGTAGTACAGTTAAGTTATCAACAAGGTTTATTACTAGTTTCTACAACATTACGTACAATATTGGTAAATAGAAATGAGAATGGAAAGGTAACACAAGTTGGTCAGAAAGAACGTAAAACGTTAGTAAAAAAAGATGAATATAAAATATTTAATGAATTATTATTATTATTATTATTATTATTATTATAAATGAAAAAAAAATGATACATACATATATTTTAGATTGGGTAAATTAGGTGCTGTATTTGGTTGTAAACAAAATTATGTACAAGATTTAATAATATATGCAAGTAGACCTGGATTACGTCTATGGCAAGCTGATAAAACTGGGACTGTCCTAAAAACACTTATTTTTAAAGATGCTGTTCGATCTGGACATACGGAAGTAGAACTTTTAAATCCAGCACCAGAAAGTTGTAAAAAAAATCGTGGTGAACCTACATTTGGTGTTATTTTACCTTTTTGTGATGATTTATTAGTTACATATAGTGATGATATTATATATGTAGTAAATCCACAAACTATTGCTATAACATCCATTGTCACAGACTTACGTCGTGTTACCGACGTTGCTTGTACTAAAGATGAAATATTTATATTGGAAGGAGAAAGGAATATAATACGTATTGCATATTATCCTGAAACTAATATGTTCTCATCAGGTAAATTTTGATTAAATATTTCTTCAATGTGTTAAAAAAATTTTAACACATTAAAATTAATTTTTATTTTTAGAAATAAAAGACACATTAGATTCATTATCATCATTTGCTGAAATTAGTAAACCAGTTACAAATGGTATATTAGAATTGACTTCAAAATTAATGGAAAGCACAATAGTACCTGCAATTCCTTTTCACAAAATTAATCCAACTAATATCATTCAATCTGTGGGGTAAAGTATTTGAATAGAAAAGAAAAAATAATTATTTTGTATTAATAAATAACATTTAAATTATATATTTAAAACTACTATTTTTTAGAATTGTACCAATGGTTACTGTTGGTACTGATGTAACTTCAGTTACAAATGCAGAAGAAGCTGTTGAAATACCAGCAATATCAATTAATTTAAATTCTTCATTAATAACAGATAGTAATAGAATAACAGAATATAACGATGTTTCTAAAAGAAAAAGCGAACAAAATGAAAAACATAATGATAGGAGGCAAATATTTCAAAAAATTAGTCAACAAGAATTTGAAGATGTTGTATTTACTCCAGAAAGAAAAATTAAAAAATCACGTAATAGATTAAATGGAAATGGAAATTGTTCATCTTTATCTGATATTGATTGTGATTTGTCTGCTTTCAAAGACAAAATAAATGCTAATGATGCAAAGACGACACATTCTTCTTTATTAACACTTAATGTTGATGACGAGTTCATATTAAAAACTGAAAGAAATCTTGAATCGATTCAACGTGATGTAGAAAATAAAGAAAAACTTTTAGCTGATGTTCTGGATTTTGATTTATCAAAGTATATGAGCAGCAGTCAAATTACTACTACTAATTCTATTATATCTCAATCAATTGATACAATTACATATATAGATTGTAAAATACATTCCAATAATTCTTTCACAGAAGAAAAAAATGTGCAAAATGAATATAATGAACATAGTGATCATACAGAAACTGAATCTGGAGAAGAAGATGTCAGTTATCGTACTGAATTAAAAAAGTTAGAAGATTTAGGTGAATGTAGAAAAAAGCTTCTACAAGATAAATTAAATGAACCCTTACAACAAAATAATTATGTTGATGGAAGAAAAATGTTACATTCAACAGGTATGAATAAACATGAATTAAAAATTTAATTCTATAGCAAGAATAATAAAATTATTCTTCAAAAATATTTATTTCTAGTTGTACCAAATGAGTTTATAATATCAACTACACTTGAGGAAGAAGATTGGGTTTTAGTTAAAAGTGATGTACCTCCAGTTGCAATGTAGAATTCAGTTGAAAAGAAACTAATTTATTATAGATATTACTTCAATTTTTTATGCATAATTTTTTATGTTTTATGCAGATGTACTTTTGATTTATTTTTGCACATTTAACTGAATTGTTTTTATAATTAGAATAAAAATAATCGTATATGTGCATTTTATATACAAAATTTAAACTTTAAATAGATAATATATTTTCTAGTCTTATTTTAGAGCAATTTATTTTGTTTTAATTATAACCAAAAAATTAGAAAATGTTCAATGAATACTAAATGTACATTTGGATGATATATATGCATATTTTATTGGGTATTGTTATCTATTTTATGAAAATTTTTTAAAAATATTATAAACAAATTTGTAACAAAAAAATTATAAAATCAATTTTTTTTAATAATTTATTATTATTGTTTTGTATATATGCACGCTTGCATATATTATTACACATTGAAAAATAATATGTGAATATTTTTTTTATGTGTAATAATTAATGTCATAACATTCCATTTAAAATTTTTATAAAAAGCAATAAAATCACCAATTTTGTTATTTGAGATTAACAATATACATATTGATCATATTCAAATATAATGCTAATAGAAACTGCAAATATATTATATATTATTTTATAAAATGTAACAATATTTAAGAGTTATATTTTAAATTCATTTGCAAATGCATATATGAACATTGTAAGTACTTAATATTTAAAATAAAAAAATATTTTCCAAATGGTATTCAAAGTTTTATTTTAACAAAAAATAAATGATTATTTTATTATTATGTAATCTTATTAAAAAAAAATTCATTTTTATTTATAAAAAAATATAAAAATTACTTTTATTTATGGTTTAATATAAGAAAAAACAAACCTTTCTAATAGGAATAAATATATATGGAATAATTTATTGTTTAATGACATACACATTATTCATAAATTACTCTATATGAGTACTTTTGCTCATTTTACTGAATGTTATAAAAAGTAATCACAGTGTTTCAGCAATAATATCAGAATATTTTTTTATTTTACTAGCAACACTCATATCTATATATTTATCACCTATTGATATAATCATACCTCCCATAATGGAAGGATCAACTTTTGCAGTAAGCATAATAGATTGACCTTTACTTAAAAATCCTTTCAAAGCTGCTTGAAGCTTAGATGTCATTTCCGCATCAAGTGGTTTTGCAGTTATTAGTTCACAAGGAACTTCACCTCTAGTAGCAGCCATTAATAATTTAAATGTATTAATTACAGTGTTAATTTGTGAAAGTCGACCATTTTCTGCTAATAAAGCTAATAGATTTATTGTTTCACTTTTCAGACTAATTTTTCCTCCAATTGCTTTAAGTCCTTCTACTTTCTCTTTTCTTTTTATTGCTGGATTTTTCACAAATTCATTCAATTTTTTATCTTGCTTCATGAGATCCTAACAAATAAATATTTTTATCAATAATTTTAATTAAAATTAAATATAGCATTTATTATACATACTTGAAATTTAAGAAGATCTTTTTCAATATTATTTAATGTTTTTTGTTTTGAACCTGCTGAATAAAGTGCTGTAGCATATCGTCCTCCTATGCCAAATACTTGAATCGGAGGCTAAAAAAAAACCAATAAAATTTTTTTTCGTTATTAATAATGAAATTAACAGATAGTATTCTAAAAAAATCTCTGAAAATAATCATAATTCATTAAATATGTATTTTTTATAGTTATATATATATATATATATATATTTTTTATAGTTATATAATTTTATATTTTTAAAATACCTTAACCAATTGTTGGACAGCAGTACTACTGGAAAATGAGCGCACCTGATAAATAATAATATAATATAAGTTTTTTTTTATTAATTTGATATGTATAATATTCTATAAATTCAATGTTTTCATTCAATAATTGAATTATAGAGTTTATTTATTTTATTATTGATAATTCAATTCATTTGCATTTTTCTTAAATTTTAAGATTCATAATTAAATTATGTGTTATTACTTACAATTATTTTACTGAAAGACATTGTCATATATTTCTAATAGCACGTTTTAAAGTCCGAAAACGATAAACGAAATACTACAAATCCACCATTATATAACTAACTATTTCACAGATGTGTAAGTATATATATTTTAGCGACATCTCTAGAGGGAGCAATTTGTAAGTTTTAAAATTTTATTTATGCAATAATTAATATGAAATTGTACAATTACAATTTATTATTATATTTATTAATATGATTAAATTATTAATATGAATGAAAATTATTAAATGAATTATTAATCGTAACTTCAATTATGATTTCAGATTTATTTTTATGCATGCTTCAAGTTTCGATCATCATTTTATAAATGCGCGCTATATATTTTCTTGCAAGAAAATAATAGTATATTATTATATTTTGAGAAATAAGAGAAATAAATTTAAATAAAAATTCGATAAATATATATTTATATATATGTATCTATAAATATTAATTGGAGAATTTTTCTTTCTGTCAAAATCAAACACAAATTTTTAATTTCTAATGATTTATTTATTTATTATTTTTCATATATGATATAATATACAACGAAATTATTTATTAATAAAGAAAATTAGACGAAAAATTTAGTTTTTTTGCACCGCCAAATAAAAAAATATTCAAAGATTCATTAAATAGATGATATTCTTACGAATAATTACATTAATATATATGAATATTAATATTCAATTTTGCGTATAATTTTTTATAGCATCATGAATTTTAGTTTTTTTTTAACATGTGTATGTTCTAATTCAATATTCTATTCATATATTTAAATATTTAATTATTTTCAATAGAGCGATTATAGAAATATATATGAATACAATAAAATATACATATATACATACAAATATACATACAATTTAGTTTGTTTTTAAATTAATAGAAATAATTAGTATTTTATATAAATATTTTTTTTTGCGCAATATTTAAAATAACAAAACATTTCATAACATCATTAGCAATATATAAACCATGTACATAAAGATTTTATATATAATCATATACATACATGTATATTTTTAATATTTATACATATAATAATATATTTAACGTTAAAACGAATCGTATATCGTATCGCCAATTTGTTAACAAAAAATGATAACTAAATAAAATATTTTATCATATTAATTTATAAATAACAATTTTATAATGATAATGAAAAATACAATACTTTTAACAATAGAATATTTTTTAAAAGTTTAATACGATTAAAATTTTAAAATAGTAGAAATGTTTTTAATTACATCACTTTCATTGCATACAAATGATACGTTGGTCCACTATTGAAATAATCAACGTCCAATTCAATTGGCATTTATTTCTCTATTATCCGATGTGATGTAGTTTTTTATATCGATCAGCGATAAATTTGAGCTCGTTCATCACAGTTCGGATTTTGAATAATAATTATTTGAATACAAATAATAATACCATATCTATAATGATTGTTTTTTACATTGACTTTTCCTTTTTTTTTATAATATATTAAATATCATTCCATAGTTATTGGTGCTGATCGAAGAACAAGAGGAAGTATAATAAAATTCATCAAGAAATCGATCTTAATCGTTTTACGATCGTCGATTACCGATGTGAGACAAATTGCATCGTAAGTTTAAGTTAGATTTCTTATTATTATTTAAACAATTCCGCAATAAATGAAATTCCTTTATAAAAATATGTTTATTGAATATTTTTCTATATTAAGAGATTTGTACTTATTATTAAATAGTTTGTACTATTAACTAAATAAAATCTCAGTATTAGGTTTCTTATCGTCTAATCGACTAATTATTAGAATGTTTCGTTTCATGATTGCAAAACATAGTGAGAATTTCTCTTTATTTATGACTTATCCTTAAAATTTAAAATTTAAAACAGAAAATCTAACACAGGAGGAAATTAATAAAAATCTTTTGCAAAAAGATTTTTTGTAAAGAAATTTGGCGGGCAAATATGTCTAATCATTAAACGTAATTTGTTCTTGCTGCGCAACAAAAAAGATTCAAAGCTCCGCAAAAGTAGGACGATTGTCTGGTAGTTCTAGTAGGTCTATTATGAGTTTGGTTCCATCGGTGTATCCGTCTACCATTGGTACGATTACTCCAACTTCCCGCATTTTGTAAAGCCGTGTACTTTTCTGCAAATGAAATTCAAAAAAAATGTTTTTAGTTAGGTAAGCTTTATAAGCCAAATATACAGCCAAGTCAATGGCATTTCAACCAAGGAATTATTTAATGAAAGAAGAAGTAAAAAACGTGATATTACTCAGTGGAAGCTCGAATCAATATACGCTTCTAATTTAAGGAATTCTCCATAAACTTTTTCTCGAAATTAAAACAAATAGCACTAATAATGGTTAATTTCTTTACATAATCTAAGAAAACTTTTTTTTTTTTTACGATTCTATTAAAATTCTTCTTTAGCTGTTCGATCGTATATCGATTTTTATAATATACGACTTTCGATGAATAGCATGAATCGACATTAACATGTTTTTCTATTCCTAATTTTCAAAAAAATTTTTTTTCACTATATCTTATTTCAAAATATATTTTTCATGGGGAAAATATATTTCACAATTATATGAAATAAAAACATAAAAAAAAGATTTGTCAAATTGTAGCGAAATGTAAGCGTGAGCTTCTTACATAAAACATGATACATAAATATGATGATATTATTAATTAATAATTTTTGCAAAGTAGTACCATTTTACATAGTATAAAATAATACGAAAAAATCGTACAAGTTCACATGATGTTTCAATGAAAATGTGTGATTTAATTCCTCGATTGCTACGCAATCGCAATAAATTGGGATATTTGTTCTTTGAGATTTGAGATCCTTTCACGTTTGATCCTTTGCATCATCACGATAATCGCTAATGATATCATCGATCATTGGCGATAAAAAATGTTTCGCGAATTTAAAAAAATTTAGTTTGGTTTTTTTCAAGTTGTAACTTAAATTAATTTATCAACGAATTATCGTCATAATTTTTCATCACATAACAACATTTTGTAATGAAAAATTTTATATTATCACACCAATATTTTTTATATATTATACCATCATATTTTTTCCAGTAGTCGAATATGAAAATATGAATATGAAAATGAATTCCACTCGTCCTTGACCTCAAGAATTGCATTACACAGTTGACGTTACGTGTACACATTAATTTTATCGCGACAAACAGAAGATTTGGGTAGAAAAAATGAATGAAAAGAACGAGTAGTCCATAGTAAAGTTTGCACAATCGAGATTCTTTCACAAATCGCGATTCGAATTGTTTTATCGGTTCATGATCGGACATATTTCCCTCTTTATCTTTGATTTTCCCACCCTTTTTCCGCGCCCAGCGGATTCTCGTTTCCTCTCGTGGAGAACGGAGGGAACGCAGGAACGGTTTCCATCTATCCTTGACCCGAGTTCTGTTTAATGTTAAATACTCGCGTACCTTTCACGTATTTTTACGTTAGTGCACTTGTTTATATATTTCGATATATATATATATATATATATATATATATTGATCAGATTACC